CCCCAAAACCCCAAAACCCCAAAACCCCAAGATTTAGATTATTAATTGAATTAATATGGCTCAGCAAGAATTTGACTTCTCAGTAGTCGATATTAAGGTAGAAGATACCAAAACTGACATTTCTACTATTGGCTGATTTATTAGCCTGGATGATCAGGAAATAGACTGCATTGAGTTTGGAGACATTGATCATAGGCTAGTATTAGGCCTAGAAAGAGATGGGACTGTGCTTAGAGTGACTGCTAAAACGCTGAATGATAACACCAAGATTGGTAGCATTTCTTTCACTAGCGAAACCTTCCATGAATGTGCACAGAAGGAAACTAAAGAGATCTGGGCTACATTGTTTGATCACGAAGATGATGATTTGTATGATGGAAATTTCGATGAAGATGATGATGAAAACCCAAAAATTTTAGTATCTTTAACAAAAGGTGACTCTCCAACTATCAGGAAGAAAGGAGCAACTAAAACTACAACTACAAGGGTATCACCTAAGAAAATTGAAGTAAGAGCTCCAATAGAAGCAACATATGATCTTTCAGAGACAGTAGTATTCAGTGTGAGAACTTTAATTACTGAGTTATGAAGTCTTACAAAAGAAGGAATTGAGACTCTTAGAGCTGATATGGATGATATCCATGCTGAAAATGATGAAAAGGTGGCTATCCTGGCTCACCTTGAGACTCTTCACAAGGAACTTCAAGGAGAAAATGCAGAGGATCTTAGATTCTTAGAATCTTTGAAAACTCTTAAAACCGAGTTTGAAGTAGATCTTGGATCCAAAAAGAAGCAAATAGAAGATGAATTGCAGACACTCTTAAATAGAATCACTGCGATCATTGAGGATATGCAGAAGCTAGAGACTGAAAAGAAAGAAGCCACCAAAGAAAGCCAGAGATTGAGCGAAATCGTAGCTATACCTGAGAATACAAAAGAGAGTGGATTCACTGAAGAAGCCAAAGATCTTCGAGAAGAAGACTCTAAACTTCGAGATCAATCTGATGAACTCACTTCTGAGTTAATCAAAACCAGAGATCAAAGAAATAGTTATATCAAAGACCATGAAGACTTGATCGAGAAACTAGAGGACATGGTTCAGGCATTCCATGATCAGTTAAGGGTTCTTGCAGGAGATACTAAAATAATATCTTATGAGAATGATAAGCTTCAGAGAGAAGCTAATCTCCTGGTTAGAAAAGGAGATTATTCTAATAAGAACCTGGTTCTCTCCCAATTTGAACTCAAATCATTTGCGCGGGAATTCAAAAGGTTAACTGATGAGTACAATGATTCTGACTCTGAATTTTCTCGGTATATTGCTGAGTTGAAAAAGAACCTAAGAAATCAAGATTTTATAATCAGTGATCTTAAGAAAAAATTTGTATCACAGATGAACCACATCTCTGACCTTGAAAATAAGAGTGAAAGACAACTAAGCCAGATTGCTCACTTCCAAAGTGAGCTCGAGACAATCGATCAGATAAAATATGAAGAGAGGTATACTAAACTCAGTGGTGATCTCAGAAAAACAGAGGAGCAAAGGAAAAAGCATCAGGAAGATCTAGAAAATGCTTATGCAGGTTTAGCTACAAAACTAAAGCTATTCTCAGGTGATCTTGATACTCATAAGACACAAAGAGCTAAACAGGAGGGTAAAGTGGTTGAAAATCTTCAAAACTTAGAAGGCATAACCACTGAAACCAACAAACTACTTAAAGAGATAGAGGTTTTGGATACAAAAGAGTTTACAGATTCTAACAGAAATAGAGTCTGTGACAAACTCTCTGAGGAGAGAGAATCATTGGATAATAAGCTCCAGTTCTACACAGACGAGAAGAACAAAATATTTAAAGAACTTCAGGACTCTCTCTCAGATCTAAAAGAAAGACAATTCAACGTAAGCGAGCAAGAAGAACTTCTCATTTCTTTGCAAGAAGATATTCAGAAAATTAGAATCCTTATCCAAGAGAAAAGGACGATTATTATCGAAATAGAGAAAGATATCTACATTGCAGAAGAGAGAATTGAGGAATTGCAGAGGCTTATCGCTGACAGAGATCAAGAAATTAAAGACTTGTTAAAACAACTTGTTCAAAGAAACACCAGGATTAAGCAGCTAACAGATACTTTAGGAAGCGCACCTCCCCCTTCACCCAAGAAGGTCACTTATAAAGCCAAGAAGGGAGATGAAGTTGACCAGCTTCTGGCTAAATATATCCAGGATTGACCAGTGCCAGTTAAAAGACTTGGCTCTGGATTCTATTTATTTGGAACAAGAAAAATCTATGCAAAAGTTATGAATGGAAAACTAGTAATCAGAGTAGGAGGAGGATACATGGTCATTCAAAAATTTATTGAGACTTACGCTGACCAAGAGCTTATTAAGATAAAATCCATTCTAGAAAAAGAAGGCCTCTCTTCAATAGATGAGATAGATTTGGAAGATTATTGTCTCAATAAGAGCAAAACAGCATACGGAAATGTTCGAGGAGAGAAGTCTACTAGTGCATCATCTCCTGGATCACATGGAGGTAGCTTCAGAAAGAGTATGACTAGCTCAATTAAGAAATTACCTAGAGGATCGAAGACAATAAAGAAAGTCACAACCACTAAAGTTATATATCAGGGTTAATTAGTTGTGAGTAAAAATTGAGATGATATTATCTACCAAAATTCATAGATTTCGTCCTTCAGATCCCTTATAAACTATGATGTGCTTTAAAAACTATGTGGGAGTTAGGTGAAGGCTACTTTTACCCCATTTATGAGTATTTTGATTCAATATTTGAAGACTAAAAAGGGGTTTTGGGGTTTTGGGGTTTTGGGG